ATCCAAACTTCGTGAAAACGGATGAGATTTGACCGAGATATGGGGGTGGTAAATTTTGACCCATGTCTATATGCGAATCTTGGGGTAAGATTTGGACATGAATTTCGACCAAAAAATCGGTGTTCAGATTTTAATGCCAGATTAATCTAGAGGAAAAATCATGAAGAAAAATCCAAACTTCGTGAAAATCGGATGAGATTTGACCGAGATATGGGGGTGGTAAATTTTGACCCATGTCTATATACGAATCTTGGGGTAAGATTTGGACATGAATTTCAACCAAAAAATCGGTGTCGAGATTTGAATGCCACATTAATCTAGAGGGAAAGCCATGAAGAAAACTCCAAACTTCATGAAAATCGGATGAGATTTGACCGAGTTATGGGGGTGATAATTTTTGACCCATGTCTATATTCGAATCTTGGGGTAAGATTTGGACATGAATTTCGACTAAAAAATCGGTGTCGAGATTTGAATGCCACATTAATCTAGAGGAAAAACCATGAAGAAAAATCCAAACTTCGTGAAAATCGGATTAGATTTGACCGAGATATGGGGGTGGTAAATTTTGACCCATGTCTATATACGAATCTTGGGGTAAGATTTGAACATGAATTTCAACCAAAAAATCGGTGTCGAGATTTGAATGCCACATTAATCTAGAGGGAAAGCCATGAAGAAAACTCCAAACTTCGTGAAAATCGGATGAGATTTAGCCGAGTTATGGGGGTGATAATTTTTGACCCATGTCTATATACGAATCTTGGGGTAAGATTTGGACTTGAATTTCGACCAAAAAATCGGTGTCGAGATTTGAATGCCAGATTAATCTAGAGGAAAAACCATGAAGAAAAATCCAAACTTCGTGAAAATCGGATGAGATTTGACCGAGATATGGGGGTGGTAAATTTTGACCCATGTCTATATACGAATCTTGGGGTAAGATTTGGACATGAATTTCAACCAAAAAATCGGTGTCGAGATTTGAATGCCACATTAATCTAGAGGGAAAGCCATGAAGAAAACTCCAAACTTCATGAAAATCGGATGAGATTTGACCGAGTTATGGGGGTGATAATTTTTGACCCATGTCTATATTCGAATCTTGGGGTAAGATTTGGACATGAATTTCGACTAAAAAATCGGTGTCGAGATTTGAATGCCACATTAATCTAGAGGAAAAACCATGAAGAAAAATCCAAACTTCGTGAAAATCGGATTAGATTTGACCGAGATATGGGGGTGGTAAATTTTGACCCATGTCTATATACGAATCTTGGGGTAAGATTTGAACATGAATTTCAACCAAAAAATCGGTGTTGAGATTTGAATGCCACATTAATCTAGAGGGAAAGCCATGAAGAAAAATCCAAACTTCGTGAAAATCGGATGAGATTTGACCGAGATATGGATTTGGTAAATTTTGACCCATGTCTATATGCGAATCTTAGGGTAAGATTTGGACATGAATTTCGACCAAAAAATCGGTGTTCAGATTTGAATGCCAGATTAATCTAGAGGGAAAACCATGAAGAAAAATCCAAACTTCGTGAAAATCGGATGAGATTCGACCGAGCTATAGGGGTGGTAAATTTTGACCCATGCCTATATACGAACCTTGGGGTAAGATTTGGACATGCATTTCGACCAAAAAATCGGTGTTCAGATTTGAATGCCAGATTAATCTAGAGGGAAAACCATGAAGAAAAATCCTATATCATATATATATTCTATTATAGAAGCTATATGTCAAGTTTGGTGACTCTAGTTCTTATTATTTACCAAAATTGCCCAAAAAACAGGATAATGATATTGATTTTTATCGATTGCTTGGAAACGGAGTAAGTTATAGATTATCGGAAATAAACTCGATCTGCGCGGGAGCTAGGAGCATCTACATCTAAAATTTCTCTGTCTCTAGCTCTTATAGGTTCTGAGATCCTTGCGCTCATACATACGGACTGGGTGACGGACGGACGGACGGACAGACAGACGGAAATGGCTAGATCGACTTAGCTATTTATGCTGATCAAGAATATATATACTTTATGGGGTCGGAGTTGCTTCCTTCTGCCTGTTACATACATTTGGCTTTCGCACAAATACAATATACCCTTATACCCATTTTTGATGGGTTCAGGGTATAAAAATATGACCAGCGCTTAAACCTAACACATGGACATGGATGGATTCAAAAACAGAACCTCAACGCTATAGACTTGAACCATGCGCTGAATCAGTGACAATCTGTGATGGACTTTGCGGAACTATTTTCAAAGTTACTTAATATTTGCATAGTACAATTAATTTCCATTAATATATAAGTAGTTTTAGTTGTACATAAACTTTAAATTAAGTGGCTCACAAAATTCGTTATGCCATGTTAAAAATACGTTTTATGCCGAAGCTAAAATTGTTTTAGTTTAATCAGAGGGTGTCCTATGGAGTCAAGAAGCAATTTACTGATTACGACAACTGATCAGAGACAAGTGATACGTTATAGAATAATAAGCAGATTCTATTAGCGTCAACACTCGAAATATTCTCGAATTAAGCTTGCTTAATTTGCAATTAGCCATAATAAAAGTTGATGAATTATGAAATGCCAGCGCTTTTAGCTGTCAGTGGTCGAATGACTAATTGACGTTCCATCCATTAGATATGAAACACACCAGAAGTGGACATTGCAACATTGTTAAGCAATTAAATATGCCAATTGGTTTCCAGTTGCAGTTGCAGTTGCAGTTGCAATTCCATTCCTGAATGCCTGTCAGAAACAGAAAACTGAAAGAAATGTCTGTGGCAGCTGATGTATGATGGAATTACAATGAAACGTAACTTTAAATGCATTGCCATGAAAGGACACACATGCACAGACACACACCCTCACACACATACACACATACACATCCAGAAAAACAGACAGACAAAGAAACAGGCACCCCAGCCTGTCAGACGCCATAAAAATAGTTCTCGGTTATCGGTTTTGTTGCCATAGCAAAAAGATACGAAAGACGAGTTTTCATACCAAAACTTTTCTTAAGGGACGTTGCGACGGGGGTTGCCTGTGTGGCAACCACTATTTAACAGCTCTGCACGATGATTTTTAATAGCTTGTCATTTAAGTTTGGAAACACACCCAAAATCCCAGCAAGAGTTTTCCCCTAAATTGTAAATTGACAGCAGCAACCGGGAAATAGAACTACATATTTGCATACTCTTGTCGAGGATACTATAAGTTTGTCATGAAGTGTGTACCGCATAAAAAGAGAGCATCTCCGAGCTCAGTATCTAGTGAAGAATCTCTGCAAACACTCATTCTCCTTAGAGCTAGCATTAAACTTTGTATAGATGCGTCTTTCTGTTGCACGTAGGTGCCATAGCAAGTATTGGACCCAATAAGGTCTGTTTTTTTTTCTTAAATATCGCTTCTTACTTGCTTCTTACATATCGGAATAATCTGTCGAAGAATGACAAATTTTGTTTTTCAAACTCAGCAGTTATAAGCTTCACACTTATTTCAACAACTCAGCAAAAGCGTAAGCCATATGCTTACAAGGTTATTCAACATCTACATTCGGAAAGGTTGTTAGTTCCTCGATCCAATTTGACAACTATATTTCCAATTTTAATTCCAATTCTGTGTTCACTTTAACCGCCAATAAAAACCAATTGGAACTATTGTCCATGTACATGGATAATTTGTGGACAAGAAACTTTTGCAGCTGCGTCTTTGCCAATAGATGATAATTGGTTGAAAATTGATTTGCTTTGCATTCTAGATGCTCAAAGTTAATTTCCCATTTCGAGTCCCTTTTGTCCAGGCGTTAGGTAACAGATTCTATTAAAATCGTATTTTATAATCAAAACCCTATGCACGTCCGCTTATTGTCACATGATTCATGGCGCATTGTGAAACGAAATCACAGATCGAATTCTCATTGTTTGGCTAACAAAAAAATAGTCGAAAGCTAAATTAAAATGCATGCCAAATATGAGCTCATGTGCGGACATGCCAGGGAACACGCTGACCAAGGCGGGCAACTGATTCACAGGTCTCTCAGTGTCGAGCACGAGCGCTTGGCTTGAGGGCACAAGGTTGAGGAAATGAGCACGTAAATGTCGCAGAGCCCGAAATTGTTCGCCTGCATACAGAAAATGCGACATTAAAAAGCCAAACATAGTCTATTAGATGTGGGTCAAGTATTCCAGCCTGATCCAAACGATTGTAACATTTCAGTTTTAAGTCGCATTTTGCCGAATTTGGTATTTACTCAATCTCATTACTTTTTTGGTCTTGAACTAAGTAGATAACAGATTGTACAATATTTTATTTTAATTTACTTCGAACTTATACTTCAATTTACCTGGATACCAGTGGAAACTAGTACCCAAATATATTGAAATCGTCGAGCATGGACCAAGCACTCCGGCTTTATTGGTTCCTTCGTCTGTTAGAGGTTTTCGTTTTCAGAATACTTAGAATTGGCGCCACCCTTATATATTGACTGATAACAGATTTGATCGTATTATAAAATTTACTTCGAATTACCTATATATTGGGGATACCATGAGTTAGTAACATGCAATCATAAAAATGTAATTGTTCCACTGAGTATAAGCAATAAAAGGAAGAAAATCTACATGGATCAACGTTTCGTATAATCCAATAATATAGTGTGATTTTGTTGTTCCAAAAATCGCCTAAGTAAAAACAATATAGGGAAACGCACATACTTCAATTTCCTTTGCACTTACCAATTGGAGATACAATAGGTTAAATAGTACCCAATTATATTAAAGCCTTGTGACTGCTGACAACGTAATTAACGAGCTTGCATTAAAAAGAAATCGGATTTAATCAATATGCAATTACATACATATGTATGTCATTTGATTTGATAATCAAGTCTGACGGTTTGAAAAACAATATTGTAAAAGGTGCATACTTCGAACTTAAATAACGTAGAAAGTAGAAAGTAGAAGATTGTTATGAAATTGTGGGACAATTTGTATTGTAATGAAATTAAGATAATCAAAGTCTAAATAAATGGTTCAAATAAAGTACAAGACATATGTTGATGTTTCTTTCATCAATCATCCAAATGAGTATACTTTAATGGCAGCATATGAAACGAAAGCCGAGACCTGTAATTATAAATCGTGTAAATATGTTCGCACAAATAATTTATAGTAATACAATATATGTAGAAACATTATTGAGTTTAGTTTCAACTTACCTATGTATTGGAGTTACAATGATGGCAATATAAGGAACGAGCTTGTGTTACAATCGAAATCCAGTATAATCAATAAATAATAAAAAGAAATAAATCGTCTAAGTATATAAAAATATGGTAAAAATGTGCAAGCTGTAATTAACTTTGGAACTCACCTGTACAGTGGAATTCAAATTACTTAAATAGTACCAAATTATATGAAAAGCATGCGACACGGACCATTAGCCATAAACGAGCTTGCATAAAAACCGAAACCTGTAAAACTAATTCATTTAGAAGATCCATGCTTACACCTAATTTACCCATGGAACTTACTTATATACAATAAATCGTACACAAATATGTGATTTGATCTGTTTGTTTCATCAACCGAAGTATCTTAATAATAATATGGTAAAAACGAGCATTAAATGAATTTCCAACTAACAATTGCAAGTGTGCAACTGCCGAATGTAAGTATAATGAACGAGCTTGTACTGCAATCCAAACCTGAACTAATATTGGCATTACGTCTCTACTGCTTCTTCTTTCGCCTGTTTGACACACGAGGAGTTCGATTTCCAGACTTAGACAGCAAACCCCTTAACGCTTCTTTATGAATTCCACGTCTATATCTTTTTCTTTCTTCGGGGACTCGATAACTCTTCAGGGTCTTGTAGAAAACTAAAAGCATCATGACTAGTTTGAAAAAAGCCAGCGATTGCCGCCTCATAAAGACAACAATCGTTGGAAACTTGTAATAGATGGTGTATACAAGTCGCGTTGAAAAGACCCAGTGCATTATATTTTCGATTCTAAACCATATCGGATCCCACATGAAGAACACTACGACTTGGCTGAATAGATAATAGACCGCCACAGCGATCGGAAAGATCCAGCGTCGATTGAAAACACGCAAATAGATGCGGAACTTATCCAGCATCAATACTATCCATGCCAAGAACAAGACGCCAGCTAAATCCGACTGGGAATCACCCTCGAATATATTTAAGCCGACGATGAACAAACTCAAGCAGATCAAAACAGATATTATAGAAGTCTTGGGTACAGCCATTGTTAATTCACAATTTTTGAAAAAACTAATTTTTTAATTTTTTTGGTTAAATGACTTGACTCGACTTGTGAATGTGCGTATACTGAGTTACTGAATTCGTATAAGTCCTAGGAAAACTAGGTTTTTTTTGTTCTTAAATGCAAGTGGCTACTAAGTTATATATAAAATCATACTTCCGTGTTGAAGCTGCGTTGATGAAACTGTATTGAGATGCTTCTTTCAGATGCTTCTTTCAGATGCTTCTTTCAGATGCTTCTTTCAGATGCTTCTTTCAGCTGCTATATACCCAGCCAGCAGGATCGGGTTTCTTTAGCCTAGGCCCCAAAAAAATAAGCATAAATATAAAGATATTGTACGTATCTTAACAAAAGCTGCAAGCATACCAGAAGCATCGCATGGTTCGAATTAATTCCTCGCCTTGAGCTTGGTTCGGAACCCAATTTCGGACATTGAGACGTCATATTTATAAACAATATTATTTATTATCAACTAGCGGGTATTTCGGCATTGCCCGTGGCAGGTTGTAGATTTATCCTTTTCACCCATTTCCCGCGGTAGATAAATTAAAGCTACCCGTACCATATAGAGCTTGGCCAGGTACTCCCCGGCCTTACCCCTTACTTTTTCCAGTACCCGCCCGTGGCAAAGTTAAATCTGCGAAATTCCCAGCTCTTACGGCTTGGGCTGTGCGTTGATCACCAACCTGCCAGTCAGTCGGGAGAGTTTTATATATAGATATTCACTTATATTTATTAATGTAATAACATATGGCTTACGCTCTTGTAGATAATGAGCAGAATACTCATACTACTACTACTAATTGCTGAGCTACAAAATAATAATACACTCTACAAGGGTGTAAAAACTGTATTGAACAAAACCATTAAAATGAAAAGGTTCGGCTCAATGGTTAATAATAAAAGTTCAGTACAAAACCGGTCGGTATCAACAAGATTTAAGGACAGGCTAGCTGGTGCAGCTCGGCGTGAATGTAATAAAAGTCACTCTTAGCAAATGCATAAAAGTCAAATGCACTTTGTATGTGCTTAGGAGAAGTATGAAAGAAATCTCATGGCTGGTCAATCAATATGAGAACGGAAGTCATGACCCCGGGCACCGAGCAGCGGGCTGAATTACAGCTGGTTGGGCAGCATCTGCGATAAGGCGCTGTCACGGTCAGCTGCACATCATCATCGACTTGCACTTTACACACGCACACACACTTTCAGCCACACACAAAGGCATTCATTCGACGCACGACTTGGCACACACGCAAACTAGTCTAGCCACACACAAACGCCCACCCCAGCCTCTCTTCTTAGCCCCGCCCTTCTTAGCCACTTATTCAGCAAAAAGCCAACTTGCCGCGCACGTAGCCGACCAACTTTGATTTCTGGGCACCATGTCAAACCCCCGGGTGACCTAGCCGCTGCCTCTGCTGGCCCCAAAATTGGCGATAAAGTTATAGCCGCCGTTATTGGGGCTAAAACTTTTGACTGTTTGCTGGCAAAAAATGAGTGGCAACGTTGCGACGTTTTTGGGAGCGTTTTTGTGGGTGCGAATCCCGCAAATGCCGCAAATAGTTGCCAACGTCAAATTCTTGAAGATCATTTCACCAGAACACAATGGGCCCAAGAACTACTCATTAAATATTCTTAATTAATGCATTGGAAATTTTCTTTAAAAATAAGAAATAAATTTGTTTTACAATTTTATTCACATTATTAAAAATTCTTGTCATAATATTAAGCCACAACTTAAATAATTCATTTTTTGTGGACAACTCAGGAATTTTATTTGTTTTTGCTCCGCACATATTTTTTTCAAAACATTTATTTGCAATATACATTACTAATTATATTGAAAAATCATATAATCGAGAGAACAATTATATTGGCTTTCCAAACGGGAAGAGCTACAGTTCTTAAATTGAAGAAGTTAACTCCGATCGTCTTAAAACTTATAACTCGTTATTCACAACAAATACATAGATAAAAATAAAATATTTTTTATATATTTTGCATCTAAGTCAAATTTAAGTATATGTATATATGCGAAATACTTCCGAATAAACAGAAAATATGTCAGCCCAAGCAAATGTATATTTGATTAAAAACGGACAAAGATTTATATATAAAAATAAATATTTAAAATAAGTGTATCTGTGGAACGGAGACTTGTAAGCATACATAATCAATTTAATTTCAAATTAAACGAATAAACAACAATTTGAGCCTTAAAGTGCTTACGTCAAATATCTCTCAAGACACTTGCCCCTCTCGAAGCTTGCTAATTAAAAACAACTTGTGCATTCGCACTTCAGCATCAATGCCAAACAATAAAATAGATCAAAAAATTAGTTAAGTTCATCATGTTGAGCGCATAACAAGTCGGACAACGCTCAAGTATAACGAGATACACTTAATAATCTCACAAAGCAGAAGTAGCCATCGAGCCGCTCATCTCCAAGCTCCAAGTTGGAGTCAGCTCCAACTGCCAACTCCAGCTCCAACATACGCTCCAGCGCACAAGCTTTGACATCGCATGCGGGGCAACTTAAGAGCTTTAACTTTAACGCCTTACTCGTAACGCCACAATTAGCAGAAGTGTTTCGCAAATTTCGTGCACTTTTATTAGATTATCGCCCACAGTGCTCATAAGACCTTCATTATTGAGCACTCAAACCATTTCGCAGTGTGTGTGTGTGTGTGTGTGTGTGTGTGTGTATTCGTGTGTGTGCGTGTCTTCGAGCATTGCTTGAACCAATTAGGAAATTAATTGAGTAAAGTGCTTCATGTATACAACACAAATATAAATAAAAACTTTTTGCCTTTTTCCTAAAGACTCAGCTAACAACACACACAAAAGCAAATCCAGCTTAAAGTTTAAACAACTGGGCAGCGATCAGTTGCGATGCTGACCTCTTGCTACGATAGCCCCCACGCCTGACCCGCAAATTGCATGAAAACTACTTTTAACTTTTTCTGCATATACCTCTTAAAACAAAATGAAAAACAAAAACGGATCCAAGTTAAAACCTTAAGCTTTATTGTACCCTGCACCCATTGAAAATGATTAAAAAAAAAAAAAAACATTCTGCTAAAAGTATGTAACAAGCAGCACAAAGAATCTACAGCCCCTTTATTTATATATATTGTTGGTCTTTTCGGTATTGTTCACGCACCGAGGACTAGAAAACTTAATTTGGACTTAATTTGAAACCGAGCCGGTTCGAGTCCGGAATCATCAATAAATCCAGCTGTCCAATTAACCAAAACCCGAATCTATCCAAACTGTCCAAATTCGAATCGTTTAAGGCTGGGCCAGCACCAATGCACAAATTATAATTTAAAATTAAATTCTTAAAAAAAAATGACAAAGCAGGAGGCCAAGCGATGGCAGGCAATTGGTTCGACCTGTAAGCCGAACCGTCATTTATGTTGCGCCCGGATCTAAACTAAACCCTATAGAAAATAGTGTAAGTTTAATAGTTAATATTTAATAGCAAAAGAGCTAACCATCTATTCATTATTTGCCGTACATAATAGAATCTAGAAGAGTCATCTTCCATGGAACAGGTTACACATGAACCGACCACTTAATGCAAAAGCTTGCAAAACATTGTTAAGATCTTTTGCCAAACTGTAATCAAAAGTAAATTTGTGTTAGTTTCTGCCTGGCGACATTGAAGCGATTTCACGCCAAGCACATTGGCCCGGTTTTCGGGCTTTGTCAAGATTTTAATCAAATATAGAGTGTGTGTCAACGCGGATTTATGAAACTAATTGACTTTAACGCTAACGCCTCCCCATTGCCCCTTCCCACCCAAGCCTAATTCTTAACTCTATACCTCCTCTAGGGCTCCGTAAAAGTAGCCCACTCTCAGTTCGGTTTCAGCACCGCTTCAGAAGGAATTAATTAAAAAACGTAATCTGCTTTGGCAGCCCAGCTCTGTCGGGAATGTCATCGGTTTGCGGGGGCTGACGGCGGGTTTAGTGGCTTGGTGGTTTGATGGCTTGGTGGTTTGATGCCTTTTCTAGGTGCCAGGCACAGCTTTCAATCCGCTTGCTGACAGCGATTTACCTAAGTTGTACTTAGTATACTGGAATCCTATTAAATGTTTGACTGAACGGTGAAAAACATCAACAGGCAAAACAGCCAAGCAATGCTTGTTGATCCCATACTTTAATAGAGGTAAAATAATTAACTTATAATATAACAATTTTATCGCACGCCTTAGTTAGGCCTAAGCTGCACTCATGCATGCGTTGATAAATATACATGCACATGGCTTAAGAGTAATTACTGAATTTTGATACCATTTACCTAATTAAAACATAAATTAGTTATTTTCCGGACTTAAACCGATTTGGGATAAAGCCAGAATTTCGAAAAAAAAAAACCATGCTAACTTATCCCACTCGTTACACTGAAATGCAAAGTCAATATCAGTTAAAGCCATATATATTGAATAAGTAGAGTGGAACCCTGAATACAAATGTATCTGGGGCAGTCTTTCCATTAATTAAATGTAATCAAGTAAATCACAAATTTAATTGTCTTATTAAGTAATCAGCTTAGCTATTTATGCTGGCGCTCAAACCAGTTATTTTTCTGTTTGGTACTTATTTAAACTGTGAATAATATAATATGATTCGTTAAACTGATTTGCAATTTACACTTCATTTTTGCTTGAAGTGTTTCCACAAATAAATCGCTACCTTTTAGGACGTTTTGATTGAAATGCGATTTATTTGCCTTGTGTTTGTTCAGCTCCTTCTGTGTTGTCCTTTCAAATCGTTCCTTTTCCATTTGTATCCCTTTTCATAATTCGCTCCTTGTCTCTGGTGATTCGCTTGCTCAGTGAATACTATTTGACCATTTCGGACACAGTCTGATGTTCGTTTGACAGGTGAAAAATTGTCGAAATAAAATGAAGCTTACGACAGGTTGGCCACAATAGACTAGCTAACATATTAATTTATTCACAGTCACGCACAAACAAAATGTGTTCAGCAAAGTTTCCTTCTTTGGCATATCAAAAAATTATTAATAATAATAGTTATAGCAATAACA